CTGGCAAAGGAGATTTTCAATATGAATGTTTAAAGTGTCAGTTGGCTTCTTTTACTGATATATGATATATGATCACAAGAGAGAAATATGTTTGTTTGTTTGTTTGTTTGTTTTTTAAAAACAAGAACTATTCAGTTTTTAAGCAGATGTAGAAGAACTATACAAGGCCTAGAAGAGTCTTTACAGTCAGCAAAAGGTCTCAATTAAGAAATGGCCTCAGGGACTGCCTATAAAATATAACCTCAAGGAAAAGATTTAATCAAAATTTTGTTAAGAACTCTAAAAAATGTAAGACCTGCTTGAAAGATCCTCACAGGGAGACAAAAAGGGCTTCTAAGAATCTTAAGGGTGGTCCAACCACAGCCACCTAGCTAAGGCCCAACGTAGAGAGGTTTGTTTTTGCAAGAATTGTAGATGTTGCTTTGTGGTCAAGGAGTGAACTCCAATTAGAATCATAGAAAACCCACACAGTTTTAAAGAGAATTTCATTGGTAAAAGCACCAGAAGCTTGGACCAAAAAGGCAGGAGACAGTTCAAAATGAAAAAAAAAAAAAAGAGCCTCTTGGTCTCCAACTTTCTATGGCCAAGAAGCAGGCTGAGGGCTATTCAGCTGTAAAGGCAGACAGTTTCTCATGAAAAAAGAAGACTGACTCAGAGGTGAACTAGACCCCAGAGTAGGGAGCCAAGTCAGTAGATTAGGAACCTACTCTAGGGAGAAAAACCAGGACCTGGTGGAGAACTAGATCCTCAGAGTCAGGATGACAGTACCTGGCTGACTTTCAGAATTGCTACAGGTTGGTGACTGCTGTGTGCCTTCTGTTTCCCGCCTTTTGAACAGACGTGTCTATTGCACTTATCCTGTCCCTAGTTCAGCATTGTATGTCGTGTATCATAACTTGTCTTTTTAGTTCATGGATCTCCTGATGAAGAGGAGCAGCATCTGAAATGCCTCATTCCCATCTGGGTCTGGTGTATTATTACTGGATCATAGACCTTAGAGCCAGTGCTATACAGAATGATAATCTGGGGGGAGGAAGTGTCTTTTGCATGTCTGTGTGTGGGCGTGTATGTGTGAACTGTCGGGGCCAAAGGATGGATTATGGTAGAGTGTTTCCAAATATGACTGCCCATAATTCCAACCGTCCCTGCCACTCCTTCCATTAAGAAGTGGAGACTCCTCTCCCTTTGGATCTGGGCTAGCCATGTGACTCACTTTGGCCGAGAGAATACAATGAAAGTGATATTCTGGGTCTTCTGAACCATGGCTTTGAGAGGCTTTGAAGCCTCTGCTTTCTTCTGCTTGAGATTCAGTCACTGTGCAGAGATGCTTGGCCTGGACCTCAGAATGATGAGCAATCACATGAAGAGAAGTCGGTGGTGGGGGGGTGCGGGCGCCGACATTTTAGGTGCTCCAGCTGAGGTGCCGGACGTGTGGGGAATGTCAGAGACATTCCAGTTCTAGCCAGACTCATAGCTGGATGTAACCACATGTCTGACCCAGCTGACATCAAGGGAGAGCTGAAAAACTGTCTGGCTATGACCTTCCCAAATTGCAAAATTGTGAGAAAACAAATGGTGGTTGTTCTTTTAAGTCACCACGTTTATGGTGGTTTGTTATGCAGCAATAGATAGTTGAAACAGTTGTCAAATGTTAGGGTATTTTCTACAGCTTTAACTTTACTCCTAGACTGTAAAGAGGTTGCAGCAATGTCAGACAAAGAAGCCAAGTTTTCAAGGAGACTAAATCCCATAAAGGCTGGACCCTATATACCATAGTCATTGTGGTGTCCACAGAGCTTCGCACAATTAGTACTGGCACAGAAAAGACTTCCACATATTTGTTGCCTGAGTCATTAAATGACTGAATGGAGTTAAGACCCTATACTTTAAATAGAGTTTTAACCATGCATTTTCTCTTTCAAAAAGGTTTTCTGTTACTTTATTATGAGAAAAAGTGATACCTCAGAAGCCAGAAGGCTGTTCTGAAGGGAAAGTTTTGTAGGAGTGAGGTAATAGTTAACCTTGACTCCTTCTCAGTGTCCCTCCTATACCTAGACAAATGAGGGCTACTCTGTGAAGCACTTGGTAAATGCCCAAATATCTACTGGTAACATATAAGTTATCTTTTTCTATTACTGAAAGAGCTGAAAGAGAAAAAATGTGTTCCATAGGGCTAGTGTTAGTATTAAGGGCACCAAAATGGAATGTCCCAGAGCTGGTGTTAGATAAAGAGACTAAAACAATCAAAGCTGTCTTGTGATGTTAGGTCTTTCCTTTCTATCACTCTCTAGTCCAAGCCACAATTTCTAAATGCTACTTGGACATAGTGAGTGCCCAGTCTCCCCTTTAGCTCTCTCAGAAGCACCCAGCCCAACCCTTATTTCTCCGAGAGTGATAATTTCATACAGCACATCTCTCTACTGAGATGTGAAAGAGACACAAGTGCCATCTGAAATAGCTCCAGGAGACTATGGCATGAAGAACTTGTAGAGATAATGGAGAATTCTCTTTTAGGATGTGGTTGCTTGTATCATCCATACGGATACCTTCTGGAGAAATGTGGTAAGCAAAATATCTTTATTTAAAACAACAGGAATATTTGTAATTAGGATAAATGAAATAAGGGAAAAGTCTTCAGACTGTGGGAAGAATAGGATGGTTTAAATGAAAATCTATAATTATTGTATATGTTTTAGTCTGTATTAGTTAGAAAATAGTGGTTAAGTAGATAAAAATAGAGAAGATTGCTTAAAAATTAAAGCCATTGATTTAGATCTCTATTTGAAAGGTCAGTGTGTGGGAGATGAGAAAGGCACTATAGCAATCAGTGTTCAACAAAAGACATTTTAGCAGCAGGACCTACAAAGAGCACATCAACTATTTATATCATCCCCATCAAGTTGCTGGTCATTTCACTTATCAAAGAAAATAAGAAAAGAACTTTCTTTAGATATTCTCTGGATGCAGTAACAATATAGTTTTGGAATCAACTGTTAAAAACTATAATTAAAGCTAGTTTATCATGTTCACTAATTATTCTATATGGTTGCTTTCCCTGAAGCAAATAATTCTCCTTTTGTTACAAGCTTCTGTTTCTCCCAGGGCAGTCTGAGTCCAGTCACGTAGAGAACTGAAGTGTTTAGAAACCAACGTATTGTAATACCTGTACAGCCAAAGAGATACTTGGCAATTGAACTTGAAAAACAAACAAACAACTTTCTGTATATTAGATAGGGTCAGCTATTTAGAGGTTTCAGCTCTACCACCTGGGTAAGGAGATATCTGGGGGTAGCAGGACAGAGTGAAGAAAAACAAACAAACAAAAAAAAAAGGATTTCCTCCAGGAACCCACTTAATACTGGGAAAGCTAAGAAATTTTTACTCAGCAGCTTCTAATAACCACCTGATATTGCCGTCAGGTTGGTCAAATATCTGCCAACATTGGTGGTCCTTTGACTCACCATGAAGATGAGTAGAGGGACTTGATGTTTAGAGTAGCAGCAAAACTCATTTTCCAGTTTCTTCCTTCAGCAGATAGAAGTACTTGTGGGCCATTCTCATATTCCAGCACCTTAGTGCTGGTGATGTACACCCTGTCTGCTCCAGAATAGCTCTGTGCCACAGCAAGGAAAAGGGTTCTCTCCTCATACCTAACACTCAGCAGGGCGGGACTGAATCCACACTCTTCCCAGGGAGTGGGTTTTAGGACTTCTCAGACGCTGTGAGACTCATCTTCACATGGGGAGTGGGGTAAGGAAGAGCAGTGCTAATAACCGGAACTCTGGAGACAAGATCAGAAACTGGAAAAACAAACATGGGACACTGTAGCCCTCTGTAATCACTTGCCTTCATTTAACTTTATCTTCATTTTCCCGTTCCTCACCAAGCAGTAGTTGATAATCAATTGAAGGCCACTCTCAGGATCTTGCCATGCAATCTAGTGGAACAACTAAAAATCAGGGGCTTATTTTTATTTATAAAATAGAGAAATCTCTGGCTTACATTAGGCTGTGTGGACAGGGCTTTCATGTTTGGAAACCAAATGGAGGCCTTTCTCCTGTTCTTTTTTCACTTGTGGCCCCTCCTTCCCCCAAGCTGACCAGGACTATGCACAAAACCAGGCTTCAGTAAATATCAACACTGAAGATTCAGCAGGTGGCTAACTCCTGTAGGGCTATCTTAAAAGTATGTTGCATATACATTCGAAGTTTCACGAAGCCTCAGAGATCTCCTAAGAGCAGTGTAAATATCCCTGGTTTAATTAGTAGTGCTGGAGTTAGGTAATGGTTTGTGGCGTCCAAGCAAGCTCTCTTGAGGTTTCTAGTCTTCAGGGGCTGCCTGCAACTATGATGTGCTCATGTATCATTTTCTTTCTCATACATTGAGTAAATTCTCTTTAGACCTTCCCTAGCCACATAGTCACAATTACTGCAATACACATGCAAACTCATCCCATTCTCAAGATATGAAAAAACGACCAGTGGCCTCAACCTAGGCATCAAATTCTTTTGGACTCAAATTCTCCTTGAGTTTTGCTTCCCAACGGAAAGAAAGAATTCCTAGGTTGGTATTGATGCCCTCTTTCTCTCTAAGTAGACAGTGGATAACTCACTTTACAGGCTGATCGATGTTGGGGTAAATGCACTCCAGTTCTCAGCATTTCTGAACCAGCTCTTTCGCGGTTTAGGTCAACCAATCCGAACTGTAAGCAGACTTGACAAGTTTGTTCTGGGCTGAAGGCCATGGACTAGGTTCTCCGACCAGATAAGTCACTTGGCTGAGTCTACAGTAGGTGGGGCGCGCTCATCAGCTCGAAAGTATTGACTGAAAGTTTGTCGCAACGTCGTTGAATCCACGCTGCGGGTTGCTGCAGGAGATACCCTTTTGCCCCGCGAGTACAGCACCAGGAAAGTTACGCCCTAAGGGGCAGGGCGCTAGCGAGAAAGATGCGCCAGACCCCTGAAATCTAGCCCCTTCTCCCACGGTTGGGAAGGCAGAGCTCATGATTCCAGAGCTCGGAGTCCCAGGTTTCGGTCCTCTAGCTTGCTCTGTGGGTAGCGGGCAAAGGGTGCGATCAGCTTGGGAACCCTCGCTCCGAGATCTGTAAGAATCAGCGGCAGCAGCCAAGGTGAGGGAAGGCGGGGGCACGTGCTTGGATGTGGGTGCTTGTGTAACCAGCTCCTCCGGCGCCAGCCCCGACAGCGCTCCAGTGGGAGGCTCGTCTGAGCCTGTTCTTCCATCGAGACCCGGGAGGCTCTGGGGTCCCCCTGCCCGTACAAGGCGGGAGCACTCCGGGCAAAGGAAGCGAAGCACTTGCCTCTACAGCTATCATATGGGAGTGGGAATTTGGAAAGTTCCCCAACTAGAAGTACACGTGACCTCCTCCTGAAAGTAGTTCCGACTGTGGCCCGCGTATCCCTCCACCTCCTTTTGAACCCTCCTCGGCTCCGCCCACTCACAGGGGCTGCAGCTTCCTACAATCACGTACTTCGCCCTCCCGCGCTGCAACGGGGGTCTGCGGCGCGCACTCCCCGGCAAGGGGGAGCGCGGAACCTGGCTCCGGGGCGATTCACCCAGCGAGGTTTTCACAGCGGTCCAAAAGGGGCGGGTCGAGCAGCTTCTAAGGATCGAGCTCGAATTGGAAGCGGTGAACCCAACTGGAACCCCGAGGAGAGAGATTCTCGGCTCTCCGGGGGGAATGCAGGGGCTGCAGGATGCATTCCATCTTCGGGGATCCGCTTTCAGCCCACCTGGACAGTTGCCTTTGAGGATCTAGATATTCAGGGGCGATGTGCTCACACTTAGCGCGCTCTGCTAGGAGCTTTCATTTTTAGGACAAATGAATCGAGTAGCCGGTGGAGCGGGAGGTGGGGCGGTGAAAGGGAGCCGGGTGAGGTGATACACACTGGAGACACAATAGGGGGTTGTTCTTTGTACTAAGACTGACACCTTGAGGACACGGGCGGGGGTGGGTGGAGGGGTGGGATTTCTCGGCGAAGGCTCCTGCAGTCAGGTCGCCGCGAACGCTTATGACCCGACATCGGTGCAAAAGGGGGAGGCTGCAGGCCGAGCCGGGGAAGTCGGGGGGTGGGGGGAGGGGTGTCCTTGCTGCACGGGCCGTCCCTGCGTTTGCTCGGACACTGACCAGAGCGGTCACCTGGTCTTTTCCACCTGTGCGCAGGTAGCCTCACACTCAAGTCAGTGACACAGATGAACAAACCAGCTTCAACCTTCACCGCGCCCCTTCCCTCCCCCCGCTTCCCGCCCCCGCCTGCCCACCTTCGCAATAGTTTACCCTGCCTCCGGCTGGGCACCGGCCGTGGCTCAGCTCGTCCCCCCCACCCTGCGCTGCTGCAGAAGAAGCCGCGGCAAGTGCAGTTACAGGCGGGAGCCTCGCAACAAGCCCGATCTAGCACTAGCAGTCATACTGGGCATGCTCAGTGCGCCTGCAGGTTGGGGACTCGGCGCTTGCACCCGGAGCTGCACCTTCTGCCGCCTCCTCACAGCCTCTGCCCTGCCCTTCCCTGCCTACCCCTCCCCTAGCGCGGTCGGGTCCGCCTCCCTCCTCCCCTCGGGCTCCCGAGGCGCCCGGACTCCCGGCGCGGCGGCGGCGGCGGAGGGGGCGGGCAGGCCGGCGGGCGGTGATGTGGCGGGACTCTTTGTGCACTGCGGCAGGATACGCGCTCGGGCGCCGGGACGCGGCTGCGCTCAGATCTCTCCTCTCGGAAGCTGCAGCCATGATGGAAGTTTGAGAGTTGAGCCGCTGCGAGGCGAGGCCGGGCTCAGGCGAGGGAGATGAGAGACGGCGGCGGCCGCAGCCCAGAGCCCCTCTCAGCGCCTGTGAGCAGCCGCGGGGGCAGCGCCCTCGGGGAGCCGGCCGGCCGGCGGCGGCGGCAGCGGCGGCGTTTCTCGCCCCCTCTTCGTCTTTTCTAACCGTGCAGCCTCTTTCTCGGCTTCTCCTGAAAGGGAAGGTGGAAGCCGTGGGCTCGGGCGGGAGCCGGCTGAGGCGCGGCGGCGGCACCTCCCGCTCCTGGAGCGGGGGGGAGAAGCGGCGGCGGCGGCGGCGGCGGCCGCAGCTCCGGGGAGGGGGTCGGAGTCGCCTGTCACCATTTCCAGGGCTGGGAACGCCGGAGAGTTGGTCTCTCCCCTTCTACTGCCTCCAACACGGCGGCGGCGGCGGCGGCACATCCAGGGACCCGGGCCGGTTTTAAACCTCCCCTCCGCCGCCGCCGCACCCCCCCTGGCCCGGGCTCCGGAGGCCGCCGGAGGAGGCAGCCGTTCCGAGGATTATTCTTCTCCCCATTCCGCTGCCGCCGCTGCCAGACCCCTGGCTGCTGAGGAGAAGCAGGCCCAGTCGCTGCAACCATCCAGCAGCCGCCGCAGCAGCCATTACCCGGCTGCGGTCCAGAGCCAAGCGGCAGCAGAGCGAGGGGCATCAGCCACCGCCAAGTCCAGAGCCATTTCCATCCTGCAGAAGAAGCCCCGCCACCAGCAGCTTCTGCCATCTCTCTCCTCCTTTTTCTTCAGCCACAGGCTCCCAGACATGACAGCCATCATCAAAGAGATCGTTAGCAGAAACAAAAGGAGATATCAAGAGGATGGATTCGACTTAGACTTGACCTGTATCCATTTCTGTGGCTCTGCTCCCCTTTGCCTTTCTGTCACTCTCTCTGATAACGTGGGAATAGACGGATGCGAAAAAATGTCCGTAGTGTGGGTGACTCTAACGTTTAACCCTGGTCGGATTTCTAGATGTATATTTTGTGTCTCTTTTGAATGCATTCAGCCTAGGGTGTGTTCGGCTAGACGGAACTCTTGCCTGTTTGCAAGTGTCAAGGCACCGATGGGTCTCTTTCTAAGGGCTATTGTCCGCAGAATCCAGAACACTGTTAGTGGATTAGTGAGCTCGGTAATCCGGTCTACTAAATGAACAGAAAAGTAGATGCTTTGAGCTTGAGCATATTTCGATTAAATCTTGGCTTTAGGCCCTAGATCAAGGGTATAGATCAGATTAAAAGGAAAATTAGTGTTGCACGTACAGCTTATTGCATCAGAATCTTGCAGTGATTGTTTTAGTTTCCTGGGTTGCATTGATAGATTCTTTTAAAATGTGAGTTGTGAACTGATTTGCATAACTTTAGAGAGAATCATTTTAGCATATATGGTGCTCATTTGAAGACAAAAGTAGGTTTATGCATTAAAACTAAGTTAATTACAACTTTGAACCGCGTTTAGAAGTTTTGCAGTTTGAAATCAATAGTACCGTGATACTTCTCAAAGACGCTCTTACTAGATTTTGTTAAATTTGCTTTTTTTTTAAAAATCTCTTTGAGATGATGGAGGATAGGACTTGAAATTTACAGTTCAGTAGCACTGTAGATTCAATGCTCTTCCGACACGTAGTAGAATGGAGATTGAGTGGTTTTTGATCTCAGATGATAATGTTATGTAGGTTCAAGGGTATTGTGTGTAGCAAATGGTGATTGCAGAGATTAAACTTAAGTTTCACTTGAAATTTAGGTATTGATTGAAGTATATACTTGAATTGATACTCAACTTTATTTAGGTTTCAGGTCTTGTGACACCTTTGGGTATCCGTTAATTTTACTCTGATTTGTGTAGAACGTCAAGTATAATTTACCAGCTGATAATCAGAAATGCTGGCAAGAGTGGATTACTCCATTTTTGGATTGTAGGTGTGTTCGCTTTTTTCATATGGTGTATTAAATTTACTGAGTCAGCTTGTTGAATAAGACAGAAACCCAAGAATTTCAGTGGGGTACTATTGGTTGTCTGAAAGTTAGGCTTTTGTATTTCAGAAGATAGTGGTTATTGAAAGGCATGGATCTTCACAGTTTCAGGTATAATGAACAAATTTTGGTCAAGGATGGGGGGATAGAGCCCTCTTTTTTGGCAGAATGGGAAATAAGTTAGGAATTGAGAGTCACTGGTAGGCCAGTGTATAAGGCATGAAAAATAGGATTAAGTTGTTGGTCTGAGGTGACTGAAGCATTTTATTAAGGTTTCTATTAAGATAAAAAATTTGGTCATGTGAATTGTAGCAGTGGACAATACTTTAAGCAGTTGTGTAGGTGTTTATAATAGAGTATACTCAAAAAAGTGGTTACTTAGCAGGTGTCTGTATCTCTAGCTAAAAACTGTGGGGAAGATACTTTTGAAGAAAAATGTTGCATATGTGAAGAGTTTTTATTCCTTTGGATTATGTATCTGCACATACATACACACATAGTATTTGCAGTTGATTTTGCCCAAGGTTTGATATGAAGTGAAGATAAAAGTTACTGAAGAAGTAGCTTTACCACGCACACAACTTAAGTTTTCTGTTAAGTTTAAAAATAATATTTTAAAAGAATATTTGGAAATTTTGGAGTTGCATTAATTGAAAAAGTACTAAAGCTGAACTTGACCTGTTTGCCCAGAAGATAATCATGAAAAATACTTAACTTTGTTCTTCTGATTTGTAACCTATTTCAGAAGTAGTATATTGGTATGACTTGATAGTCATCTAGATGTATAGAACCAAATTAATTAAATGTTTAACTTTTTAGAGTAAACCCACATTCAGAAAGATTTCTAGAATGCTGTTTGTTAGGCAGATTGCTTTTAGTATTCAGAGTATGTTTATGCTATTTTTGCTTTACCCATTTGATTTTAAATTATCAGAGTTATGAGACTAATATCATTCTACCAGGTTTTTATATGTGAGCAGCGCGGTGATTAGCCATTTCTCCTTTGATTTCAAGGTGTGTGCCTCAGTGTGTGAAATTTATGTGAATTACAACTTTCTCTAAAACTGTCCTTTTAGTTATGGTATGCATAGAAAGCATTATCATATATTGCATCAAATGACTAATAACACTTGATTTCTAGAGTTGTGGTTTTATTGAGCCAAATGTTGATATGAAAAAAAAATCATGTTAGGAAAGTCAGTAAAGGGTTGCCTTTTTGGTAGTTGCACTTCCAATAATTTTGATCCACCAGGGCCCTTGGGCTTGCTTGGTTTCACTTCAGTGTTTTGGGTTTAGTGGTGGGGGAAAATTAAAATGGCCATTGACGGCTTTTTCCCTGGCAAGTTGTAGTGTCTGTTTCAGCAGTTAGCCTTCTCAAAGTTAAATTCTTTAATGAAAGTAGTGATTGGAGTATTTTTATAAAGGTCAGTAATGAAGTGACTTCCTTAAAGGAAAATTGAGGACTATGGGTTTTTTTTTTTTTCCAAAATTGAATTATTGTAAAAGTCATTTTTTGGTGGGGGCTTATCCTTAATATTAGTCTGGAAAGTAGTACTGAACACGAGACTATAAAAAATTCGTTGTTTTAGATTTCATGGACACTTTAGGCTTCTATTGAATTTTAATTGTTTGATAAGTTTGCATCTTTTCAAATAATTAACCTTCATAGGGGAAACTTTAATTCATAGAGAGTATAGTGACTGTTGAAGTTAGCTGTTATCTTTTAAGATTAGTGATTACTGAAATGACTGTATAGTGAAGATTTTTTTTTAAAAATTCTACTCAGAGTTTTTATTTTACACTTTTTATATCAGTTAAGTTGTATTTCTTTCCTGTGCAAAATGACTGGGCCACCTAATTGTTACAGGATGATCCACAAACTTCATTTTCATAAAGCGTATTAAAGAATAAAGCACATCGGAGAAATTTACGGTTTATGTAGTTCTTAATATAAGGAAAAGAATTTATTGCTGTTCATTGTAAAAGTTTTCACTATAGTATAGTCATCAGTGCAGATTTAACATTGCTTATGATACACTAAAGAAATAGTAAATATAAAATATGATGAGACGTAACCACGTTATTTTAAATATAGTTTTTAGAGAGATAGTAGAGAAAGATGCATTTGTATGTATTTACCTTTTAGAATCTTAACATTGAAGGTAGCTGGTGATATTTTAATTCTTGTGTGGTACAGTATAGTATCTGCTTTTTTCCCATAAACCACAAAAAAAAATTACAGACCTCATAATGTCACAAAATACTTTTTGGAAGTCTGGTTTTCAGATGTCCTCATTTCGAGATTTGCCCCATTTGCTATTTGTTCATGTGGTGATAGCTTAATACTTTTTAATAATTTTTAAGCCATTTAGGTAATCACTTCAGTGACTTTTAATGTAAGAGTATTTATTATGGGAAAATCAGTTCACAAAATTTTGACATTAAATCACTCTCAGACATTTTATTTTTTAATTTTTACCTCAACATTTCTAGTAAGACAGCAGTGTAGGATATATTTTTATATTAATATTGTATGTGAAATTGGAGTTTGTAAAAAGAAATTTAGAAGTTTTCACGTGTATGACAGTTTTTCACTTACTTGAAATGTTAGGCCTTGGCTGTATTATAAGAAGTTAGCTTCCAGAAAAATGTTGATAATGAAAGAAATTTATTTGGTATACTTTTTTTCTGTAGATAACTCTTTGTTCCAAAGTTCTGTTTGTATTTCATAGAACTGTCACTCTTTTCTCCTCTCTTTTTCTGTTAGATAAACAGGATTTTAAGTAAAGTCAATATTCTTTTGTGGTCTGATTTCACTAAGAAAAAGTGTTAGGATTTATTCTAAGGATAGTGACTTAAGATGTATCAGACTGTGAGATTGGGGTCAGAAATTATTTCAGTAAATATTCAGTTTTACAATTGCTTTCTAATTGGTAACTCTAAAATTAACACAGTTGCTATCAGAAATATCGATATTATTAGGCTGAACAACCCTAAACTGATGACCTTAATTCTTTTACATAGGCCGTCTTAACTTCCACATGCATGTTTTGCTGGGTGGTCAAAATATTTTGGTTTGTGATTCTCAAAGCGTAGACTATATATATATGCACTTACTAATGTAAAATACTTTCATTTGTCAAGAAAGGTGAAATTAGTATATTGGATTTGATTATTCACCTACTGTTCCCTAATTTTTGGAATTTTTTCATTGGCTACAGAAAAGCATTAGCAATTTGGTTCTTTTAAAATTTGCAGTGGAATTAAAAATACTGTTGGAAAAACACTGATTTAAGAAGAATAAACATAACTTAGGGGTGAATTAATTTCGTATGGAAAGTCTTCATTTAGTTCTATATGGTTAAGGCAGATTCACTTCATTTGCAACAGTTTGCATTCAGAGATGAGTGGACATCTTCAGGGTATTAGGTGTGTACCTGTTGGTCCTTTTGGCAGATTTGGATACTATGGCAGTACCTTGCAGCAAAAAATTATTCTTAGCCTGTATGTAGTGTGGGAAAAAAGACTATGTGTCATATTTTAAGTTGTTACACACTTAGTTACTATAGTAGTCATCACTTCAGCTATGGACAGTGAATCTAACTTAAAAGTGTTTGAATACTTGTATGTATGTAAATAAAGACAAAGTCAGGCAATTATAGTAATATTTCTAAAAATTGAATTTCTCTTTAAAGAAGAGTTCACCTGGTGGGTATGGTTTTATAAGTTTTAAATAAGGTTAAATCTGTTTTAAATTACATTCAAATATTGAGTATGAGTTTTTTCCACACATTGTACATTGTTTCATTTTAGATTTTAAGGTGGCAGCTGTAGACTCTGGAACCAGTACTGCCTGTGTTGGAATCCTGACTCTGGCACTTAGTAGCTGGATGACTTTGTGTAGGTTGCTTAACTTTTCTCAATCTATATTATCTGTGAAATGGGGATAATGGTACCCACCCATTTAATGTTTATTTTGAAGAATAAATGAGATAAGTAATGGCATAGCACTTGCCACCTTGTAAGTATTTAAATGGACACTGATGCTCTTAAAAATTATAATTCCAGGTTACTCATGTATGAGAAATTGTCTTTTCGTGTATGGGAGGAGCAATGATTTTAACTGAATTTCCTCAGTTTTGGATATGTTGCCATATTAATTGGTTCATGCTCTGAGTAT